TTCTGCTTGTTTGTTTGTTTGTAGCCTTTATTTAACCAGGTGAAGCCCCTTGAGATCAAAAGATCTCTTTTTCAAGGGTGACCTGCAGGACATTAGTTACACATGTAACATAAAAACAACAGAACAACAATAAGGATGACAAACAACATAATGTACAGGGTACAGTTTACAAACTCTATTTACAGTGACAGGTACCATGAGTATCACACAGCATGTCACCCAGCCGAGTTTTAAAATGATGCAGGGGAACCAAAGTGATCAGTTTTAAACATGTTTGCAGACTGTTCCAATTTAGTGGAGCTGCACAACTAAAAGCTTTCTTCCCTAAGACAGTCCTAGCACTTGGCACATTTAATAAAACAACATCATGAGATCTCAGGCAATAAGTACTTTCAATTCGTCGAGAGATCAGAGAGCAGATATAAGAAGGTAGTTTACCCAACATGGCTTTGTAAATGAACGTGTACCAATGACTGAGCCTCCGTACAGTTAGTGAAGGCAGACCTGCCTTGGCATACAGGGTACAGTGATGAGTAAGTGATTTACAGTTAGTAACAAATCTCAGTGCGCTGTGATAGGCGGCATCTAACTTTTCCAGGCAATGGGCAGGTGCATTCATATGGATCAAATCACCATAGTCCAGCACAGGTAAAAAGGTCACAGTGACTAGCCTTTTCCTGGCTTCAAAAGAGAAACAGGACTTGTTTCTGAAAAAGAAACCTAGTCTAACCCTCAGCTTTTTAAGCAGATTAATGACCTGAAGTTTAAAAGTAAGACAATCATCAAGCCAGATACCTAGGTATTTATAACAGGTAACCACTTTGAGTACTTGTCCTTGCATAGTAACAATATCCAAAGCAGTGTCTGTAGTCTTTTTAGCTTTAGAAAAGAGCATTACCTTAGTTTTATTAACATTTAAAAGAAGCTTAAGCTCAGAGAGCTGAGTCTGAATAATGTTAAAAACAGCCTGTAATTTAACACCAGCCTCCTGAATGGAGGGACCTGCACAGTACATCACGGTATCATCCGCATAAAAATGTAAAGTAGCTTCATCCACATTTTCACCTAAACTGTTGATATATATAGAGAATAAAAGTGGACCTAAAACAGAACCTTGAGGAACACCATTAGTGATGTTCAACCACTCAGAAGACAGCCCATCAAAGTGAACACATTGGGACCTTTCAGAGAGGTAGTTCACAAACCAGCCCACTGCATGGCTGGATGTGCCGATACTGAGTAGCCTCTGCTTCAAAATGCGATGATCTAACTACTAACTACTTTGTTGAGATATTTACCAAAGGATGGAGCTATATTTTACATTCATTTATAAGTATTCCTGTTGACAGCTGTTTATTTTGCGTGAACACTTTATTTTGTTAGTGTTTCCGATATAAAACGAGCTAATTTAAGTTCTGTCCTCTCAGCGTTTTGAAGTTAGGATCACATCTGTTCTACAAAGCACCCTGCCATCCTTTCATCACTTAACGAGTGTGTTAGTTCTTGGTGTCACCGATTTAAACAATCATTTCTTGATGCTTGATGTGATCTTAAGAAACCCAAACAGTGAAGTAGAGAAAATCCCCTCCCATCTTGGCTTTTCCACCCTCTCCATCAAGTGTTTATTTGTTTGTGGCCGACAGGAGGTGAAAAGAGGGACTGGATGTCAAGTGAGCGAGTGCTGCAATAAGAGAGTCTTGTGCTTTTTTGTGCTGGCAGATCTGAGACTGGCTTAAAGTCAACACCTTTTAAATCCTATTATTTACTCTTACCTTTTGCATGTCTTAATTGTTCTTCTCCTCTTGTTTTTTCCTGTACAGTTTTATTGTCAGTCTTATTTAATCTTTTCAGTTTCTTACTCCCTTCTTCGAAGTACAAATCCTTTTTGTTCATTCCCTGACTTTCTCTTCTGTATACTTTTCCCACTGTCCACTATTTCCATGGCTCATTGTCCCTCTTTCATTCCCTCGTCTTAATGTCAGTCATGCTGGATGTCTCTCGTTGCCAGCTGCTGTGTCTCTCCCCTCTTATGCCCAGAGTTACTGATGTCTTACCCACACAAAGGGCTCCTCTCCTGGGCTTATAGCCAGCCAGGTTAGCCCCTCTCTTGTGCTGGACCCCTGGAGGTTTCAGATTCAAAAGTGACAGAATCCCCTTTTTTTTCTGAAAGAGCCTTCAGGCTACCATGACAACTGCAACTACGGGATTGGGCCTTTTACTCTGGGGTTAAATGCTCTTTGGAGTTACAGAGGAAAGTAGAAACTCTGTCCATAAAGATGCAGATTGCAAGAAGCTTGATTTTCTTTTCTGCTTGTGGGCTGTCTTTTGTAGACTACAGATACATTTTTTGAAGCCCCCTCTCCTGTTTGCTCTGCCTGTTGTTGGGTGTTTGACATTCCCTCTGCAGATGCAGTTTGACACTAGAAGCCTGTTTTCACTTTAATCTGCTGAAGGGGGAAAGTTTCTCTGTGCTCAGCTCAAAACGAGGAGTGTATCTACAACACAAACTAGTTTGTAAGCCAAAAATGATAGAACAATTTAAAATACAGTGTGATGTGGAAACGTAAAACATATTTTTATGGTAGCTTGTCATTTTGTGGAAAAACAATATTAGACTTGATTTGTTATTATAATAAAACCAGTTAAAAAAAGATCTGGAGGCTCTCAGTTTAAAAATAAATATGTTGTTGGGTGTGCATGTAGTCATATGAGGCAATTTTTAACTGTGTTTAAACAATTTGGGTCACTAATTAAAATGATAGGCATGGGTTAACTCTTGATTGACCTCATAAACTGTGCTGGACACACAATGATCCATCAATTAAAATTCCTTGACATTATACAACAAAATGGGATCCAGTAACAGCCCTTCTGAACCACACAGTTATGCTTTTTCCAATCTGACATTCCTATCGACTTCAACAACGTCATTTCTCAGTGCCTTCTAAAACTTAGAAAAATTACTTTTTTTCAATAAATAATAATATATCGTTACGTTTGGTTAGGTTCAAGCACATACACTACTTGGTTATTGTTAAAAAGATAACGACTTTGGCTTGGGTTAAAGTTATTTATTTACTGGACTTCAGTTAAGATTAATGGACCTTTTGTCGTCATGGTTAAAAGATAAACGAACACCAGTCTCCCATGGCAAAGTCCAACATGTTGTTGTTGACCCACCCAACCACCGAGATCTCCACCCTATGCAGTCATCTTAACTTCTTAACGTCACGCAACTTCCTCTTTGACTCCCAGTGGACGGGCCATAATTACTGCCACTGCTAGAGCACTTTGTCACTTCAGCGTAAACACAAGTCGTTTTTTGGTATTATCAAAATTACTGATGCTGTCGTTTATTTTTTCAATCTCTGATATTTCATTTAAAGTAAGTGTGCAAGCAAATTTAAAAGAATATAGACATGACGCATTTTTTAAAAATATCTGTCTTTAAAGGTGGGGTAGGTAATTTTGGAGAAACCAGCTCGAGTGCGCCAGAATTGGAAAATACACAGCCGAAATAAATCTGCTACTTCCTTACAGAGCCCCTCCTCCAACACACACGAACGCGCACATGATAAGTTTGTGCACAGATGGAAAGCTGACAGGCAGGTAGGCCATCCAGTTATTTTAGCCGGTGTCATATTTTAAACTCGTCAATACTGTAAAGATGTACAATGAGAGTAATCAATAATAAACTGGTGAAAGCAAACAGCGTTGTCTTGTTGATTATTTATTTGAAGCTTCAAAGGCACAGGTTTCACAGAGTATAGGATAGTCTGCAGGAGTCTGCACAATAGTCACAGAATAGCAAAGCTTATATACAAGATAGGGCGGGCAGACAGAGTTGTGTGTAGCTAGGCGGAAAGCCTCAGAAATCTGCTTTCACACGGATGTCGCATATCGCTATTAGACACCTGTGTCCTTGAGCTGCAGAAAGTATAACGGTTATCAGCATATGGAAGTTCAAACTTTGTGTGAAGAGGAGTAGTTTCAATAGTCTGCCAAATCAGCTCTGTGGCCTTGAAGTGCTTGAGAATAATAACCCTCATTAGAGTATGCAGAGAAAATGGCACATATGAAGAAATGGTACAGTAGTGTTAGACAATGCTTTTAGAAGCATTTGGTTTTACCATATAAGGTAACATAAGAAATTGCCACTACACCGGCCCGGCTAAAATGATTGGTCGTGCTTTTTACTATGGCTTCCACAGATGAAATGTTTTTATGGATTTTTTGTCAAAGCACTTAAGATATTACAAAATTTATTTGTGTGTAATGGGATTTTATCAACTTTTTTTGAACAGAAGAAAGTATATGTATTAGAATAGAAAACCGAGGGATGAGAGGATAAAAAGAACCAAACGGAAGGAGATGGTGGTTTGAGGGGGGATAGTGGGGTTGCTGTTTGTGAAGTTTGGGAGACAGAAGAAAGGGCGAACATGAAAAGGAAAGACTTATATATTGAGCGAACGATGTAAACAGAAGGAAACGTAGAAAGAAAGAGGGAAAGAGGGAGATCTGCATTGTGGCCCAAAGCTGAATGCTGCCTTTATGAGCAATAGTTAAAAGGACACTGAGGCGTGAGTCCCTGTAACCATAGCAACTTCCCAGGAGCCCTGTGACGGACGGATAATAGAGTAAGAGAGGAGTTCCTTTTCTCTTCTTCACCCCTCCCTCCCTCCCTCTCACTTGTTCTCACTTCCACTCCTCTCTTGGGCAGTTTGTTGGATCCTCGCATCTTACAGGGTTTTCCCGACTCGGCTGCTGTTTTCTGCCTTTTATGTGCGCTCTGAAGTTTGAATCCCGACCCGGCGTAAGCTGCTCCAGACAACTGTTGCCATCATTGCTTCTTGTTGTCTTTCTGAGTCACTTTTATGGACTCTCAGAACTATTTGAGGACTTTATTTTTGTGCATCCAGAGGGCTGTTCTGCGTTGGCACAGAGCGAAATGTGCTCCAAAGGCACTGTCTCAGCCCGTGATTCCTTTGTCTACATTTCAGAGGCTGTGCTGTCAAACCATGGTGCTGCCCCCGAGACCAATCGCCCTGAGAATATGCAATGCTTAACAGTAAGTACAATCAAACTTTCTTATTTTCTGTGTGCATGTATCTTAAACATGCTTATACCCTTGAATTGTTCTGCTTTGTGTGGGTGCAATCCAAATATTTAGGAAGTGTATGCTATATGTCTATGAGTATCTATTATCGTTATTGATGCAATTGTTTATTGGATGTTTTGGTGAATACTTGTCTATACAGGTGTATAACTTATTTATTTCTACTTATTTATTCATTTCTGTGTTTTTATTTATTGCGTTTGCATGTGCGTGCATTAAAAATGGATAGGCCTGTGATAAATATACACAAAGTAGTTGACCCGTGACATTGCACCATGTCCAACAAACTCATCATGCATAAACATGCCTTCAGTAAGATTTACTGCATGGATTCCATGTTACACATTCTCAGTAACCATAGCAACTAATTGAATCATGCGTTTGAGCTCTGAGCAGTGAATGGAGCAAGATGCCTTTTCTTGAAAGACAATATTTGTCAAAAAGCTCTGCATGCGAGTCACATGTGGAGCAGAATGATGGTTTGTCATGAGAAGGGGGAAAAGAGAGCTGTGCCGTTGATGTGAAGATGTTTATCTGCTCATGAAGATCAAAAATCCTAGGGGTGTCTTCTCTTTCATCCCATTTCCACTGTGTTGACTGTATGGTAGCCATTAATTCATAACAAATGAATGTGTCTCTGTTAACAGAGACACAGGAGCATGACTGATGATTCTTTTATCCAATTTACAACTTGGTTTTGAAAACAGTGGTTATTATGGCCTTTATTTGCTTGAAAAAAGCGGCAATATTGAAACCATTAACTACAACAGGAACAGAAGACCTCAGCATTCAACTGTATCACAGTAAAGTTTGGGAACCATAATGGATCAGCAAATGGTAAAAGAAGATCTTCGTCTTTAGTGGATGTTCCCTGTTTTCCTTTTTAGGAAACACACGGCAGTCCTTGTCACTGCTTACCCTGCTGTTTGCTTTTGGAGGGGTGGAGACCTCAGTGACATTTGCTTTTGCCAGCAGCTTATTTGTACCAGCCAGTGTTGAGCTTCACTCAGAGTGTACAAGTTCATTTAGTACTATAGACCATGTACTAAAAGAGGTTCATGCTAGCAAGCCATTCACATTGGGATGATAACAAATAAATACAAAATGTTTAGTAATTCTCCTTTACCTTGGCTTATTGAACAATCTGGATTAGCAGACGTCAAGAAAAAGCTTTTGAGATATAGTAACGGAGCATGAAGCCTACAATCCCACTCCCCGCTCAACTGTCTTATACTGTACATGGTTTTTTATTAGAAAATAGTCAAGTGTTTTAAAAATGTGACTGAAAATATAAAACTCAAGACAAACTAGATAATGTGTCCTCGTCTAGAACTGCCGTCACTTCTACATTTGTGTCTTCTGTGCTAGTTGTACTTCCACTGGATTGAAATGAAGATTTCCTCTGATGAATCCATCAGACGTTGCTAATGCAATACAGAGAAACAAACATGTAGATATTCACATATAACTGCTCGCAGAGGGGTCCCTGTCTTTGTACCCTTCCACAGTCACACTAAGTTACACTTGCCTTGTTGGGTATAAAGGCTGCTTCTTTTGGCATGCTTTTGTTTACACTACTGCTGCGGGGCAGAATTTATTTCCTTTATGGTTTACTAACAACTGGAACCTGAGTTGGCAAATTTCCAGAGGAACGTTCATAGAAAATTTGCTCCATCCAACATGGATAATACTTTAGTAAATTCACTTATACAGGTTATGATGCATGTGAGACTGTGCCTATATTTAGATAGGGCAAGCCCTTATTGAAAAGCCTCACATGTGAGGCACGTAGAATCTGATGATATACTGCAGTGTAAGGAGCAGGCTATGTTATAAGAAGACCATATACAAGACCATACACAAGACCAACCAACACATTCTTGGCAGATCTGCCTACATAATGTGGTCAAATGACATGACAACACGTCAGCATAAGCAGTAGTCTTTTAAAAACTAATGACAGACTACAAGTAGAGAGACATTTGAAACCACAGCTACTGTTCACAGCCCTGCCACCTGCTGTAACAGAAATGCCCCAGTCTGTTCCAAATATACTACTGACAAGAATTTGTATTCACTCTCGGAAATAAGACCAAGACAATGAAATGTACCTAGCTTAACCATGTGCTTATGACTTATATATACTTTATAAAGCTTTTTACAGTTCAAGTTTGATCTTCTATGTGGTTGTTCAGTATGTAGTTGCTAATAACCATACTTTCAGAAACAATTTCCTATGGGTCTGACGACGATAAACCTCTGGTTGCAAGGGGCAATACTTCTGGTGTTTCTGCGTAGCCATCAAATATCCGTGCCAACATGTACTGTTCTGTTCTGTGGTCATTTCTTTTGCAGCTTATTTAACAACTGTAGACGCAAAATTAGTTATAATTGTAAGATAACTTTTACGACTGGATTGTTTCACAAGTAGCTCTAAAGGAAAATGTTAAGCGAATTAAATACAAAATCATAGTTGTATGATAACCAGTGTGTTACTAGATTGCGTATCAGCCAAAAGCCTTTTGCGTCTTTTACTCTACACACAGACTGGTTACCTGCATTCAATCAAACCTGCTCAACAGTGATTGGTCAACGCTACTTGGACTATAAACCAAAAAACAGAAAACTTTACGATGCCAAGTCTTGTTATCTTAACACCCTAAATAATGATTTAAAGTTGTAATTTAGTGGAAAGATAATCATTTTGACTTGAAGTGACCGACATTTCAGCCTATCCAACAGATCAGTTTGTCAGTGAAAAATATCCGTGTTGCTTTGAAACCCTCCAGGATGTTAACTCAGTGGAAAGCGGTGGTCCTATGCAGTAACTTGTTCAAAAAAGCTTTACTGGACAGGATTAGACAGAGGAGCTCACTTTACTTTCACCTTACAGACACTCTTTTTATTTGTACACATAATGCAGGCCGTACACACAGAAGCGCAAGTTGGGAAGTGCTCAACTAAAAAAGTGCCGCTGCATTTGACCCAGTGCCTTCTTTAAGTGCTTTGAGTACCTGATACCTAGCACAGTTTATCTCAAGCAAGATGTTGTGATGTAGAATTTCAACATTTGCTATCTTATCTTATCCTGCATCCAGTGTGTGAATAGTTTGAGCAGCTCCTAAATGCATACAAGGTGAAAGCAGTAATAATGTGGAGAAGCATTGAGATGGAAAAGTTTTACATCCGTATTTGTGAATGCTCCTTTCCTCTCTCCTTCCTCTCCCCTCCCTCCCCTCGCGTTCTTGTTCTCTCTCTTCCCCTTTATCAGCGGGTGAATCAGAGTAACAGATGATTGTGCGGTTTGTGTGGGACAGTCTCAGGGGGGAGTTAAAAGAGGGGGGGAGCACATTCACAGACTAAATTAGTGAAGAATGGAAAACCTTTTAGACTTTCGCTTCTTTTTTGTACGCGTTTTCTGTTGCCTTGTCCTCGTTCCTTTCCAGACCGCTGCGTATTTCCTCCTCGAGTGTTGTGGCCTCCTCCACCTCCTCCTCCTCTCTGCCCCCCCCCCCTTTCTCCCCCTCTCTGTCACCCCATGGCCATCACCTCCTCTACACAAAGAGCTCTGTGGTATCATTAACTGCCCACTCTCTACCTACTCAAATATGTTTCAGTGTTTGATGATGGCCTTACACATGATCATTTGAATGATTTACACAGAGCGTATTGAAGGTTGTGGACACTTCAGATATTGTTGAAGGTAATACAAATGTACAAAACCTTGGTAAAACCCACTATGTACACTTTTACAATCTTTCCCAGTAGGAAATGATGCGGTGAAGAATATCAAACCAATCAAGTTCTGTTTACTGCTTCACTCTGAGATAAAAGTATTTCAATTCACGGAAAATAAAATATTCTCTTTTTAAGAAAATGTACGAAGAAGTTCTTGGTATTTGAGATAAATTCCATAATAGTCAATGGAGTGATTTTGTGATGTGAAATATCCTATTGTGGCTCTCACTGGGATATTTAGAGGACACTTTCACTTTCTTTAAATAAAACCAAAAGAATCAATTGCAATGCCCTTTAGTGTCCGTCCACTTGAGGATGATCTGACTACAATGTCAGGGTCAAAGGTTACTGTGACCGTACATTCAGCAATAATGGGACATTATTTTGCATGGAATCTCCTCAGATTTGGGACAAACGTCCATTTGGACACAAGAATGGACTGATACGGTTACACATTTTTAGACATGGATCAAGAATGAATCTGCTATTGATGACGATGTCACACACGTGATGACATTTGGGACAGACAATGATGTCAACTGTAACTGGACAGGAATGTTGCCCTGTTAGAAAGCATCATGATGAAATGTTTGATTATCTTTCAAATGTTGAATGAATGCTTCATCTCTGTTACCATTAACCCATTGAACCAGAGATGACATGCACCACAACGATACTTCATCTTCTTAGACGTCAGCAATTACCAATTATGTTTACAGGCAAGGACATCTGTTTATGTCACTTGCAGAGAGCAGAGAGTTCATGAATATTAAAAATAGTTGCACCCCAGACAAAAAGTCTCCCTGCATCACTTTGCTTGTCAGATAGCGTTAGCTCCTAAATGGTATCTGTGAAAATGGGTCTGACACTTCTGGCTGTTGGGAAAGATGGGAAGGAAGAATGAGGTTTGCTGAAAAGAGGACAGAGATGGATAGATTTTCTGTCCGTCATCTCAGAATTAATTAGGAAATGGTTAGTTTTATTCATATAAAGTATCCTTTGTGGGAATTTTAGGCCCTGGCTGCCTTTTATGTTCTCTACTAAATGTGTAATGTATGAGTGCTTATCTTCGTTCCATGCTGCTCTACACTGTACAGCAGATGAGATGAACATTGCTGTACAGTAGTTGTCAAATGTTTATCTTGTTGTAAGGACTGTTGTGGTTCAGGTGGTAGAATGAGTCATCCATTAATCCTGGGGCGGTCTGATCCATG